ACCTGGCCCAGAACAAGTTCAGGGTCTCGTTTGCGCTGTGCGGGTGACGGCCTACTTTGAAGATTCCGGGCCGTGTTGGGAGACACTCGGTTGCGGTATGCAGCTTGTGGTGGACGACAAGAGGTATTATCCTGCTGTTAAGGTGGACTCCATGTAAGCCCCGTGTTTTGAGACTTGTACGGCGGAACCGGTGTTTGGATGTACCATAGGAATCTTGAAGTTCCTATGTGCCCATCTGCCAATGAAGTTAAGCCTTGGTTGATCCTTTCCTTCAAACTTCCCGCGATCATTTTCTTGTGACGCCAAAAGAGCTAGCAGGTATAGCTTAGTGTCAATTAGCAAGTCTCCTTTTGCTAGCATACAAAAGACTCTATCTCCTCCTATCGCGTCCTCAACTCTAAGGCTGACTCCTCCCGTTGTTCCCATCAGCCAGGTTCTCCGTGCTTCGCCCAGCCTTGACCTCCTCCCTCCAAACCGACCTCTCCTGCTCAGCTACACCAGGACCCTTGTACACACTTCCGTACAACCCAGAAGCCCAACTCGCGCCATCCTTGGCCTTCTGGCTGTTGCTGTCCTTGAACTTGCGACGATACCATTTCCCATACGCCAACAGGTAGTAGAGCCTGAAGCACAAGAGTGCAAATTTGTCGTGCTCCAAATCCTCGGGGTAATCCGCGCCCATGTCGACAGCGGCAGCAATACCAGACATGATGGCGACCTCGTGCGCATTGACCAGAGTCCATGAGCCTGCGAAACGGACGCGCTTCTTGGCTTGGAGGAACATTATCCACGGTACGACAAAGGTGTAGTGCTTCCATGTGTGGCAAAGCTGATGCCACCAGTCGGCGCGGATGATCTTGTCCTTGTCAATCTCGCTGTCGGTCCAGTGCTTGCGGTCGCGGTCCTTGTTCAGGTAGATGGTCTGGAAGACGTGCTGCTCAAAGGGAACCTTGTCGGGGAACTGGGACTGGTAGTTGGTGGTGTCAAAGCACATCTCCAGCTTGGAAAGGTCATCGTCGTACATGCGAATGTAGTACATGGGTCTAAAGTTGTCCTTGGCGAACGCAAGGCGGGATGACTCGTCAACCTCGCCCTTCTTGCCGAGTGTCTTTACAGCCTTCTTCTCGTCGTAAAAGTTCTCATAGTACTTCTTCATGTAGTCGGCGTCGTTGTGAGTAATTGTGATGTCGTCGGAGAAGGTAGCCGAGCCGAGCACCTTGCGCTCGCGCCATGATGAGGTCTTGCCCAGGATCTTCTTAGCGGTGTCGGCAAGGACGCACATGACGATCTCGTCGTAGTGTTCCTCTGACTCGATTGCGTCTGGGTCGCCGCCAACGGGGTTATGTCCGTCTTCCACGGGGGTCCGGGGTTTGGTCTTTACGAGGACGCCGCGCTTGTTGCGGTGGACAACCTCAGTGAGCTCCGTCGACAAGCGAACAGTCACGCCTCGAGACTCAAGGTCCTTCTTCCAGGTAGTATAGAAATCGGTAAAGTTGGGGAAGACGACCATCGGCGGCTGGTTGGAGGCGACGCTGTTCGGGTCGGCGGGGTACCACATTCCATAAGTTGGCGAAGTACAAAGACGTTCCAACATGATGGCGGGCACCTCTGGCGTCGCGTTGCCAGTACCAAGGAAGAGAGCAGTCATGGGCAATCCCACGACGTTTGTGAACTCGTCTGAGAATCGAAACAGCTTGAAGACAACTTTCAACGGCAGTAGTGCGAAAAAAACTTCGAACCACCTCATAATCTTGAGCATGAAAGCCAGTCTGCGGACTTCGGCCTGGTGCTTCTCGATAAACTCGGTCGGGAAGACGTTAGTCCAGAACTTATCGTCCTTACCAAAGGAGACCTGAAGCTTGACGGGATCCGCGTGGTAGCCTTGGCGGGCGAACATGGTCAGCGTGTGGTGGAAGATGTAGCTGCCGCCCTGTACACCCTGGTTGAACCAGCTCGCGCCGTGTCGCTCCTTGTTAATGGGCATCGAAAAGGCCTGTCCTCCGCAGTAATCGACCGAGTCGATGAGGGTCACATCGAACTTGTCCGGGTGGTTCGAGAGATGGTACGCTGTCGACATGCTACGACATGTGAGTCTCTCGCCGTGCGAATTACAATCGTTCGTCTTGATAGTTTTGCTTACCCAGCAGCACCGGCGCCGACAACGAGGACCCTCTTCCGCCCATCCTTGCCTATATTTCCGTTTTGCGACATGGTTTTGGAGCCGTTTTGCTCAAGGTCACGATTGGGATCCTGAGATGCCATCAATGTCAAAGGAGAGATTCGTTATCTCATCACATCAGTACGGACATCCCAGCTGGCATGCGGACGCGTGCGGGTCAAATATGGGACGAGAAATGTGTAGCTATGGCGTCTATGACGCTGTGACATTGAGTTTAATGAGGTCACCACCCGCAAAGCGCCTCTTTGTTGTTCACCTGCGCCCACTACGCCCAGGGGGAAGCTACTAGCGATCGATCCGGGGGATCCACCCCCAAGAAGATCCTAAAGATCGGGACTAGGGTGTCACGGTGCTTAAATCGTTAGCGGATGCGCTGGACGACGCCTGTCACACCTCGTGCGCTCACATGTAAACATGAGCGTGTCACTCTTTTCTCACCTTCATCACGATGAGAGAGCTTTAAGCTCCTGAAGGGCAAAGTTCTAGACCACGTCGAAAGTTTGGGGCTGAAGACGAACTGCTATTCACATGAGTGACCGTATCATGAACTTGTCGAATCTCGAGTCCAGACTAACACAATGCAGAGATCACCCCACTATAGACTCTGGTAACACTCAACTGAAGATATTCAAGAGGTATTAAAATGCTTAGATACGCGTAGAAATTCCCGATTCCGGCTGTCAATCAATCTACTTACCTCGCCCAGGTTCACAGAATTACACGATGTGTCTCAACTCACTCTCGCCATTCACTCTCACCACTCACTCTCATCAAAGCTTAGCAGCCTTCTGCAACTGCCTCACGAACCGCCCATCATCCCTATCCCACCATGGCCAGAACGGAACACTCTCCCGATCAACAGACCCCGTAAACTCAGGCTTCCTCCTCTCCAAGAAACTCTTCACCCCCTCAACATTGTCCTCCGTCCCAGCAAGCTGCACAAACACCCTCGAATCCAACACGTGCGCCCCCTCAGGCGAAGCCGGACAATACACCATCATATCCCTCATCAACTTACCACTCACCAACGACGTATTCTCAGCCAGATCCTCCGCCAACCTCACCGCGTACTCCACCGTCGCCCCCGGCGAGGGCAAAAACTTTGAAAACAGCCCGCTGACAAGCGGATCCGTGACGGGGTACATGTCCCCGGTCGCGACGACGTGGTTGGCGCGCGAGAGGCCTATGAGGCGCGGGAGGAAGAAGGCGCTGCAGGATTCGAGGACGAGACCGCGCCGGGAGAAGGGGAAGCCGCACCGCGCGCCCTCGTAGGCTACCCGGATCGTGGCCGGGAGGATCATTGTCAGACCGACGCCGGCGGCGGGGCCGTTGACGGCGGCGATGGTGGGTTTCTTACAGTTTGAGATTGCCAGCGCGACGCGTCCGCCCCTGTGTGAAGAGTGAAGTATGCATCAGTCCGAATTCGCGTTAAGTATCCTGCGGGATTACTGTTTCTATGGCTTTGGAATCAGGCAAGGCTCACCAATCCCTAAAATCCCTCATCGATTCCTCCGTCTCCTTGAGGGCCATCATACCCATAAACCCAACATCCAGGTCCGCCCCTCCGGAGAACGCCTTGCCTGCCCCCGTGATGACGACCGTGCGGACCCGCGGGTCCTCGCTGACGGTGTTGAAGATCACCTCGAGGCCGGTGAACATGTCTCCCTTCATGGCGTTGTACTTTTTGGGCCGGTTGAGGGTGACCATGATGACCTTTGTAACGGATGAGGAGCTCGCTGGGACATGGGAGACGAGTAGGCCATCGTACTTGAACGAAGCGTATGATTCGGGCAGCTTATTTGGGGATGAGGCCATTGTTTTTTGCGAATCTGTTCTATGAGTGCTTGTGATTTACTATCAAAGGTGAAATTGCCGTCAATGATGCAACGTAAACAGCGACTGCCATCAGTTTCTGTCATTCTACTTATATGTCTCCGGTCTACAGTTCGCGGAGGGAGCCTCGGCAGATTCACCACTGCATGTAAGTAATCACTAATCGACAAAACATCAACTTGGCCGAAGCATCCTGCGAAATGCCTGTCGACCCCGCGTTCAACCCGTCGACCCCAACTTTGAATCCTGACAACTGAGTTCTGGAGTGACATTGACCACCCTTGTGTACGACGCCTCGGCTGGGACTTTGGTTTGCAGGTGCATCTGATAGGATAGATGAAAATACAGTTAAATATGACGGCCTGTTGTTACGGCCGGTTCATGGGGTCCAGGTCTCACGAGTCTGTTTGCTCTCATTAACGCCAGCTTTCCCAAGTTGGCAAGTCTAGGCAGGTAGGAGAAGACTTGATAGAGGCTTATGGCTATTCATCGCCTACCGAGTCTTGGCTCGGGACGATGTTAATGCCCATAGTCACGGAGTAAAGAATGATCGGTGGTCGATCAATTATATGGAAAGCAGAAGCGATGACCACCAACCCCATAGGAACGAATACAACGGGATGCCGTTCAGGAGTCTAAGTTCTCATCGTTTCTTCATGCCATCATGAGCCAAACGTAGCTTTCCATACCTGTCGTCGTCAATAAGCTGCTGAGCACCACCTCAACTTGGCTACAATCATACGTTTCGTGATATGTAAGTCACGAGCGTCGTATTCCCTGGTCCTAAAGGAACCAGAAGCAGCTCAATGGTGTGTTTCACGAAATATCGATCTATTCTCAAGCAAAGACTGCTAACATAAGACATGCAAGCAAGTCTCTGGACTTCCAAGTCGGTGCTTGGCAGGAGATCAGATCTCGCCAAGTATCGCCCTCAGATGTTGACATCAAGCCTGGACCTCATGCCCTGCGATCAAGCCCGTTTGATTCTTCAAAGATCCTCAAACACAGGCTCCTTCTTCTCAGCAGATAATCTCTCGGCAATGGCGTTCAGCCACGCTCCCAGCCTCACGCCCGCCTTCCCAATCACCTCATCAACGACTTCCCAGTTCTCATCAAAGTACCCCTCGCTGAGGTCATTCGACTTCAACCAAGCCAGACCCTTCTTCAGCACGTGCGAACAGACGTACGCATTCGACTCCGTGGCCCAGCCCAACGCACACGAACCCGTCTTGAGATCAATGCACTGCCCGTCCGTTGCGTTGACACCCGCCTGCTCTTGGCGTTGATAGAGGTCAGCTGCCCATGAGGCGGCGGCAACCTTCTCCTGCGGAATGCTCAGGTGCGGCGGCAGACCGCGGATGCGGTGCGGAATCTGGGTATCCCAGACGGAGTGCAGGCTCATTGGGCCGTTGCAGACACCGTGATTGGGCTGGCGGCGCCAGCAGACGGGCCGGATGTCGTTGCCGCCGCGAAGGAGACCTGTGGCGTGCAGGGGCTGATGGATATCGCCCAGGAAGTGTATTACAAACATTGTCGCGTTCTTGCGGTCAATGTGTGGGAGGCTCGTATCGAGTATTTGAGATGTCTGGTCCGAGCAGGTCAGTCTTGATGATTGCTGCGATGCAAGGGTGGTTCTTACGTAGTTTGTGATGGCGGAGATGATGCAGCCACTGGATGGGCAGTCTTGAGGGTACTTCATGCCGCACATACTAGGGGGGTCGTCGCGGGGATCTGGCAAGTTGTGAGCTTTTGGATCTTGCGAGCGTGGCTATGGCATGGTGAAGGGACAGGATTCGTACTGATGTAGTGATACTTGCTTGCCCAGCCCATGTGGCCTCTGAGTGTATCGGCCCAAGTCGCAGCATCGGAGAAGTCATAGTTGCGATCGTTGGCGAGCAGGTCTCCGTAGATGGCGGCGGCTTCATCAGTTAGGTACTTCTCGGCGAGATATCCGACGGTACGGTGACCGACATTGCCCCAAGAAACGACCGATCTGGCGGCCGCGGCCAGGAGAATAGTAGAGAGACGCATCTTCAGTTATGTTGAAGCTGTATGTGTAAGAGCGTTGTCGGTTCTTTGGCAACCTGCGACGCAAACGCGGAGCTTGGAGCTCTTATCAGATATCGCCGTTCCCCCTCCAGCGAGTGACCCGTGCGACAGGCTAACCCGTTGCATCGCACTATTGGGCTGTCACCTCTCAAGTGGCTGGCTGCCGTCTGATGTGGCACGTCGAGACACGGCGGCAGCAGCTCTCGGAGTCTTCCGCAGTTGAACGGCCATTTGGTGCTTTTGATTGGAGAGAGACACAACAGGGCTGAGACGCAGGTCCAGAATGGGGACTGGAGCTCTCTGTTCACGACTCAGCTCGAGGGGAGCTCTGAGGCGGGAGTTTTGATACTGGTGAGGTGTGGACACTGGACAGCTGAGAGCTCTGCTAACAGATTGGCGTGCCAGTCGTGCCAGCCTGGTGCTAGAATCTGCCGGTTGGCTTGTATGCGTACTTGAGAAATCGTTGAGTACTGGATGGGAATGACGTCTCGATCGGCGAGCTGAGGATATTTGGGAAACGATTGTCAGGGTGAATGAGCCGGCAAACGGAGTGTCCAACTGCGTACCGAAGCAGTTGTCCCGGCCGAGCTCGGATCTTCACTGACGCCCGGGGGAGCATTCTGGCACAATACGCAGATGGTTGACTCAAACGACGGCATTTGACGAGGATGTGATCTGTAGCTGTTCCTATCCTGCCTTGCCTGCTGCAACTGAACCTCGAACTGTTGGCCAGCGTTGGTGGTAGCGGTTAGAGCATTCAGCAACTGCTCAAGATGCCCAACCCATGTCTCACAGCGTCGGCCACAACCCAATGAGCCGTCTCGAAACTTAGCACAACGTCTGCCTTAGAGTGGTCATTGAGATCCCCCATGGGGTGGCACTGGTGGATAGTTGGCGCCATCAGCCGCAGGTGGACTGTGGAGGGCGAGACAAGCTCCTAGACCCAGGATTCCCAGAGAGTCAAGACTGGAGCGCTGGCATTGCCGAGGCGGGCTTGGCTCAGCTTCAGCTCTTGGAGGGTGGCGCATTGATGCCCTCCATTACCAGACTCCCAGTGCCTGCGTCCTGGCCCGTAGGAATGCTCGGGACCTGGCAGGGGTTCCTCACATCAACATGGCTCCCGGCACCTCAGGCCAATGATGTGTTGTGTGTCAAGCTGCGAGGGCCGAGCTCCTGCTCGGTTCAGCATGGAGACAGCATCAAGGGATAATCCACGGCGAGTGGGCGAATCAAGCTGGTGGGTGTTAATCTTGTGGTTGTGTCGCACTTTGTAGTTGGAGTTGGGAGTCCACTGGGCAAAAGCTTTGTTGTTAGGTACGAAGTACTTTGGCACGTTTGGGTGCCCGTTTTGGGGATTGCCTCAGGTACCTCACCTAATGACGATAAGCCAAGATAAGATAAGCCAGACCCAAGACCGCCCGATAAGGATAAGTGACCTCAGAGTCCCCGTCCTTTGAGGTTTGAACAGCTGCCGCAGATCGGGCTGCTGCAATTTGGGCCTGCCAATAGCGTCCCAAAGCCTGTAATCTCGCTGCAAGGACCCCTAGACTCACTTATCACAGACCAGATTTCCCACTACCTAGGTACCTTACTCCAGGGAAGTGATTCCCCGCCGTTGGCGATAAGCAGGCGAAGAAAGCTGACGTTATCATTGATGCCATCACGAATTGCGCACCCATCTAATTACCCCTCTGCCTCGATGCGCAGCACGCGACACACGATATCTCACAAGCCACCACCTTGCTGTCAAGCCTAGGACGCTTCAACTGCTTTGACTGGTCGACCCTTGACTCGTTCATCTGCCCAGCCACACAGCCAGAACGAGCCGTTTCGACAGCCCCCAGAACCACGGCAAGCGGCTAGGTACTACGCATCAGCCACCATGTCCGAGGACCTATTCAGACCAGCACTGATCGTCGTTGACTTTCAAGAAGACTTTTGCCCGCCTGTAAGTACCTGAGATGGACGTTTGACTTCTTGGTTCGTCACATCTTGGCCCATTCGCGGTGTGAAGCCTGAAGTGAGCTCTCGTCGCTGCTGAGACTAAGTGAGACTAATATCGCCTCGAGAACGGCTCACTTGCCGTGGCAAACGGCCGCGACATTCATCCCGTTGTCAACTCACTACTACGCCTACCGTTTGCGATCAAGATTGCCACGAAAGACTGGCATCCCCAAGACCACATCTCGTTCGCATCAAACCACGATGGCAAGCAACCCTTCGTCGATGCCATCGATATCGTCAACCCGCGAAACAGCGCCGAGACATTCCACACCCGCCTGTGGCCAGTGCACTGTGTACAGGGTACGCCCGGTGCAGCCCTGGTGCCGGAGCTAGATGCCTCAGCCGTAGACACTGTTATCGAAAAGGGCCAGAATAAGGACGTTGAGATGTACAGCGTCTTTTACGACCCCTTCCAATCACCCAGAGTGTCCGACAGCGGACTTGCGGCCTCTCTCAAGGACAAGCGCGTCACGGACGTCTATGTGGTCGGTCTGGCTGGTGACTACTGCGTCAAGTGTACGGCGCTGGATGCCCAGAAGGAGGGGTTCCGGACCTTCATCGTGGAAGAGGGTACCAGGCCGGTGGACGCCGAGAAATGGGACGAGTGCAAGGGCGCCCTGGAGGCCAGCGGAGTCAAGATCATCAGCATGGAGGGCCCGGAGGTCCGTAGGGTTGGAGCGGTTGGACGGGGATGAGGGGCCGATCAACGTTGTACTCCAAAGCCGTCTGATATCTTTGACACCGAAAACCCCAGAGCAGAGGCCAACGATGCTTCCGTGTTCCCTCCAAGATAGGTTATGCGATGAGTTCGGGATATCTGTTGTTTCAGAGACTGATGGCGTTTGGGGAACCGCCGAGCTGGGTTTACCAGCATCAGCTTCAATGGTGTATACTTTGGGCACATGCATTGATACAGCTCTTGACCGGTTACACAGGTGCTGTATTTGTATGCATGGATAGCTTGAGGCGATGTGAGAGGTTACGTAGCTTGGTAACGATGGAACGGCCGTGTATCCGTATTCTGTGCTCTCCCCTTTGTCGTCATGTCTGAGATTAAGATTGTCTTCTTGCCTCTACTTGTAGTAAGGCCACAGCTATTGTAGCTCGTCAACGGCCGCTAGCAAAGTAGCTTGCCTACCCTGCGGGCTTGGTTCGTAACAGCCAGCGAGCAGAATTGACTGACAGCATGGAGTATCCATAGCGTGTTCGTAGACATTCTCAGTCTAGTGAAGAGTAACAAGGACTCGCTGTGCCGTCGTCGACGTGGTCAGCGATGCTTGGATAGTGGCGGGTCGCGAAGGATCCGTGGCCCCGCGACAGAGCAGCAAGGCCCGGGGGAAAGGGCAGACTCGGGACCTTCAGCTGGTCTATGCAGGCGCAGACTTTCGGGGGGCCAGTGAGGAGACCACTGACAAGGCTTGAGGGGGGTGGGTGCCAGGTAAGAAACAAAGACGGGGAACAAGGCAAGAATAATACAGGGAGATCGCCAGGGGTTCGCTGCACAGATCTGACGTTGATGGACATTGGCGACGAACCTTTGACCGTGACTGGAGCTTCACCGCCGGACTGTACCCGCTGATGCCCACCAAGGCCGGAAACGTCAAGATAACATGAGAAAGGACCGGGAGGAGGGGGGATTCAAGTTGAGTGGGCAGGAGGATTTTCCCTCATTATCAGATCAGGCCCGCAAGAGGGGATAGTCCGAGAGAGGCTAGAGACCTTAAAGAGGCTGGAAGAGGGCAGAGAAAAGTCTCTTGTCTCCCGTCTGGGCATTAGAATCTGGATGAATGGCCATGTCGAGTGGCATTTCTCCATCTGGGGAGGCTGGCAGGGGATGGAAGAGTTTTCGACAAGGGGTCTTGCGCATCGTGAGACTGAGGTGGGAATTTGAGCAGAGTCATCTTTTCGTACCAGCAGTGAGATGTCGCTGGTGAGGCTCATGCGGCACAGCTATCTATCCGTGATAACGTAAGTCCAAGATGATGCATGAACGGAGTTGAACTGAATTGTTTTTGCAACCAAACGGAATTGGGAAACTTCTACGGAGTAGCAAGGACCTTTAGAAAAATGGCGTCTCAAATGCAGGAGCAGAGTGCAGTGCCAACGAAAAGCAGCAGGAAGGAGCCATCCACCATCGTTGCACTGCTGCAGGAGCGGGAGACCCACTGCAATTCTAATCAAAGCCGCCTTTCCTAATCGGGACATTTTGTAGGTGTCAATTCTCATTCGATTTGGGGACTGGAAAGAAGAACTGTTCCCTTCCTTCATTGTATCGAAGAAGGTACGGATACCAAGGTACAGCTACCTTAGGTACCCAAGGTAGGTTAGGTACCCTACGAAAAAGGATGCGAAGAAGGAAACCACGCCCAGTGATACACAGTTCAACATCTTCATCTGAGCTCAGGTTTCACTTCGGGTTGTTTAAGGTAAAGGAGCCTCACGTTCCTGTCACCTCAACGCATTTCAACAGCAAAAGGCGGCCTTCCAGAAGCGACTTAACCACAGAAGGACGCACGACGCATGGCGCACAGGTGCTGCAACACGCCTAGCCCTCGACACAACCAAGGCACCGAACGACGCCTTACTACCACCGTCCCTGCTGTGTCTGTGGTTACCTTGCTTCATCCGTCTCTTTGGGGCACAGCAGCTGAAGAATTGTCGCAGCAGGTCCCGTGTTTGTAGGTATGACGCGGCGACCAGGCGGCGGTGCTCTTGGAAATTTGAGAGTCTTGACAAGTTCACAAAGTCAGACTTCCATTGGAATTAGGCACCAGAGTATTCTATGCCAAAGGCAAGATACGAATAAGCGTGGCTGATCTTGAGGTGCGTTATCGGCTTATTCGATTTGGAAGCGAGGTGTGCTGCATGTCTCAAGCAGGCCTGATAAGCTGATAAGATGGGTACATTTGGGGTTCAAACATCCAGATCATCAAGCAAACACCACACCTTCAAGTCGAGCAAACTGCATTTGAGGCTGA